TGCACAATAATTTATTATAATTTACTTAAATTAATTATATATTTGTTTATAGATATTAGTAAAATTATTAAGCCCGCATGTGCGGGCAAAACACCTAGTTTTTAAAAAACAGAGGGAGTATTGTATAAATTTAATTCACAAGATTGATTGGTAATACTTAAGAATAATTTATGTTAAGGCATTAAATTCAGAACATCTATATAGCAATAAAAAGAATGTAATAAATAATACGAATATATTATTTGATACTAACTTATCGTGCAACCATATCAACACTTATATATATCTTACATTTTCTTATGGTTTACATTTTAAGTTGCTTATTTTCTTCAAAGCTTAATCTAATGACGTTTTTTACAAAAAAAATAATTTCTTCTGTTATCTGCAAGGACTATGATGAAGAAAATATTGAAGTTATTAAAGAATCATGTTATTGGGCATCAGCAAAGGATCTACGCAAGTTGTTTTGTGTCCTATTACTAACACATAGTATCACAAATCCAGAAAACGTTTGGAATGCTACTTGGAAAAAACTATCACAAGATATATTATGCAACCAAAGAAAAAATACGGATAAACTAAGTAAATTCATGTTTTTATCAAAAGAAATTGTGTTTGGGTAAATATAATTTTTTACATGTTCTTCCAAACTTGGAGTAGATTGAATCAATCATGCTTTTGAACGGAAGCTCATTGACGTTGTTTAAGTTTTGAACGTGTTATCAGTAGTATACTCTTCTATTGGTTAAGCTGTGGCTTTTGTTAGAATTTCTATTAATTGAATTTTTTGTTTTACTTTTGTGGAATTCACGTTATTGTAATGTTATAAATTAATAATAAAAGCATTTTCTCATTATTGTCGTATAAGTTCTTAAGTTTTATTACATCTTCTTTTTCATAGTATTGTCTTATAACTTTTATTAGANTAGAATTTCTATTAATTGAATTTTTTGTTTTACTTTTGTGGAATTCACGTTATTGTAATGTTATAAATTAATAATAAAAGCATTTTCTCATTATTGTCGTATAAGTTCTTAAGTTTTATTACATCTTCTTTTTCATAGTATTGTCTTATAACTTTTATTAGATCACTGAAACAAAAAGTGAATTGATGTATCAAATGTATTAATGACCTAATTAAATTCGGTTGTCCCAAATCAGAATAACGAGAGAGAGAGAGAGAGAGATATATATATAGAGAGAGAGAGAGAGAGAGAGAGAGAGAGAGAGAGATATGTGTAACATTTCTTTTAATCTGTCTACATACATTTTACGGAAAATTTATGCATGATAATATTTTCACCTAAAATAAAGAATTACAACACATATACAATACAATTCTAATTAGTGATAACAGAAAATATGTTACTTATAAAACTACACACTATTAATTTCAGATTTGGAAAATAAAATTCAACCTTCAATACACAATTTTTTTTTTGATGTTGCAATTATAAATACACACAATAACTACCTATTGATACTGAAGTTACTTTGTTCCATCTCCTCCATGTAAAATATTGTGTACCGACATTTTTTTGTGCCCGAAGCTTTACCTCAAAGACGGTGGTCTTATGATATAAAATCTATTACTTCTAAAACTGTGTATTATTAAGTCCATAATTTGAATCTGTATATACCCGCACAGGGTGCGGGCCGGTCACCTAGTACACATTATTAGATACACTAATTCACATTTACCTTCACTAGAAGGACATTTTCAAAAATACCTATGTCATTAATTGGTAAATGACTTAATTGACCCTGATTTAAGATATCATCTCTCTCCCATAAAATAGAAACTGCTCGGAGTCGACGGTCAGTTTGACGGTAACGCCGCTTTCGCCGGCGGCGGTTTCATGCCTTCTCAATCAACTACGCAAGCGCCTGAATACTCTTCTGCTTTCAAGGTTTCGTATCTCTCAATCGAGTTTTGATAATCGTTTTCTCATTTTTTGATTATTATTGTGTCGTTTCGATTTTCCGTGCACTATACTTGATTGATGATTCATCCGATTCTTTCGATTTCCAGTGGTTTCTCGGGAAAATCAGTGGTGATGTATTGAGTTTTGGTATGTTTTGCAGAATCGGGATGCACGTACCTTGCTTCCACTGACGTTGAAGCAATTGAATAGTGTTTCAACCAATGGTGAATCGAATTTCTCCATTGATGGCGTTGATATCAACACTGTAACCTCTTTTTCTTCTTCTTCTTCAGAAGTTACTCTTGTTTGTTTGTTTATATATTAAGCTCTCGTGCTGTTTTGTTGTTGCGTTGTCTATTAACGGTTAAGTTTGAAGTCTATTGAGTCAAGTTCAGTCAAGTATAATGTACATATGTAGATTCTCTAATTTGGTGATCTTGAGCTTGGTGTTAGTAGCTTCTTTACTTTGGTGATCTTGGGCTTGGTTTCAAGTACGTTTCTGGTGTAGATTTGATGTCTATTGAGCTAAGCATTTGAGCTTTGTGATGTATGTGTTTAGGTTGCAATTCTCAGATGAGGAAACATATTCTAGCATAGCTACACCGTTACTTAACATCTATGTTCAGGTAACATATACTTTTTTTAGCTGTGGAGGAATCTCAAGTTTTTTCAGCGTCTTTGTTTACCTGTTCAGGGTAAGTTGATTTGGGAGACTTTCAACATTAGAGTAGAGGCTAATGGAACACACAAGGAAGTTATAAAAGAAGTGAACACGACGGTGACTGATATCACTTTAGAGATACGGCTTTACTGGGCTGGGAAAGGCACAATGATCATTCCTAACAGAGGGAATTATGGTTCTCTTATCTCTGCAATCTCTGTCTATCCTAGTAAGTAAAATTTCTTCTGTAAAAGTTACCATCAAGTTTCTCTTATGAACTTTAATCTTTTTCATGGTTCTTGTTCTTATTCTCTCAGGTTCTGAATCTGAATGTGGTGGTCAGAAGAATAAACGTCAAGTCTAATTAATCCTATTTTCAGCTACATTTATGTAAGAATTTAGATCAATATTTATCTCATTATTGTTCCTCTGTCCAAATTCAGTTGAAGTGACGACTCCTCCAGTGACAAAAGAACACAAACCAAAAACATATCCTCTCATTCTAGGCATAACAGCCTTGATACTTTGTCTTGCATTCTTGATTTTCGGCGCGTTCTACTGGAAGAACTGTGTAAGAAATGCAGATTTAGGAAAGAGAGGTAATATCAGTTAAAGTTATGTTGTTGGGTCGATTGTTAACCAAAGACCTAAGCAGATATAAATGATAACAGGTTCCTTCAGCTTTAAGCAACTAAAAGTTGCAACTGAAAATTTTGATCCCTTAAACAAGATTGGAGAAGGTGGCTTTGGATCTGTATATAAGGTAACAAAAGTGTTTTTAAGTTCTAGAAATATTAAAGAAGAAGTGAGTATCAAGTTAATGCCATTAATTTGACAATCCAGGGAAGATTACCAGATGGAACTCTGATAGCAGTGAAGAAGCTATCTTCAAAATCATGTGAAGGAAACAAAGAGTTTGTAAACGAGATGTGTATGATCGCTTGCCTCCAGCATCCGAATCTTGTGAAGCTTTATGGATGCTGTTGTGAGAATAATCAGCTTCTTCTTGTCTATGAGTACTTGGTGAACAATTGTCTTGCTGATGCTTTATTTGGAAGAAGTGGTCTGAAACTAGAATGGGGAACAAGACACAAAATATGCTTAGGAATAACGCGAGGGCTTGTGTTAATCAAGAATATGTTAACTAATAAGGGCTTGTGTTAAACTATTTGTAAGTCCATACCATTTATAAAGGTTTATAAACAAGTTATTAAATCTATAAACCATTTATAAATGTTTATAAGAAAATTATCAAAAGCATATAAATAATGTTTTTTTAAGGATGTTGTAACAAGGAAAAGTTTCTAATGACACCTAAATAATGGTTTGTATGATAATTTATAAGGGTTTATAAAACAATTTATAAAGATTATACAACTTTATAGAGGTTTATAAAACAATTTATAAAGATATGTAAAACTATTTGTAAGTCCACACCATTTATAAAGGCTTATAAAATAAGTTATTAAATTATTTGGATTATTTTTGTTTGCAAGAACGAAACTTCTATAATGATTAATAAAACTATTTACGTGTGTTTATAAGAGTTTATAAAACCTTGTATGAACCGTTTAAGAAGTTGATAAAAGACTTATAAATATTTATAAACTATTTATAAAGGTTTATAAAACTATTTATAAGGGTTTATAAAACCATGTACAAGAACTTATCACCCATTTATAAGAGTCTTATAAATCTATTTATAAGGATTTATACAAAATACAATATTAAAAAGTTTAATAATCTTCATAAAACAATTTATAAGAGTTTTCATTTAGAAGAGTTTATAAATCATTTATAAATAGATTTACTCAATGTACTTCTAATGTTCTTCGACTCGTATACGGTCACAACCCATCCTATTCACACACTGTTTTAGAATATCAAAAAGCATGCTCTTCTTAGAATATCAGAAAATTAATAGAATCTTATATAATGTTGACAAGTTTTATGAAATAGATATAAGAACTCTTAAAAGAGAATATATAAAGTCATTTTATAAGGATTTATAAATTGTTCATAATGTTCTTCGACTCGTAAACAGTCCCAACACATCCTATTCACACACTGTTTTAGAATATCAAAAAGCATTCTCTTCTTAGAATATCAGAAAATTAATAAAATATTATATAATGTTGATAAGTTTTATGAAATAGATATAAAAACTCTTATAAGAGAATATATAAAGTCATTTTATAAGGATTTATAAATTGTTCATATGTTTAAAAAGTCATTTATAAGTGTTTATAAACAAATTATAAAGGTTTATAAAACATTTATAAAGTATCTAATATTATAAGAGTTAATATCTATTTGACAGCTCAAAAAATTGATCAACAGTCTGCATCAAAGATTATCCAAAACATTAATTAGACAGCTTCATTCAAGCCCTCTAAGCTTTCTCATGCAGAATATTTTCAGACTAGACAAGTATAAATCGAACAAGTATAAGGTCACAGCAAACTGAATACAATCATGTAACTTCAATTAATGTTTTGGAAATAAGGTTATGTCTCATTTAACTATAATGTAAACAAATATCTTGCTGAGAAAAAGAATAAAATAAACACCAATTGTGTGGTTTGAAGACCCGTATGCGATGGCGTTTTGAAACTGATGTCAAGGCGGACACATTTTGCATTTGCCAAGTTTCCAGTCTTTGTCGACAAAGCGTTTCCTGCTGCAGAGTCTTCAAATCCAGCCATATCAGTGTTACTATTGCTGTCTTGGTCAACGGTGATACAGTCTGGGCCATCTTTTGGAATGCAGATTTTACATTCCAAAATCTGCATCTTCAGGCACAGAGATATCAACGGTAGGCCTGAGCTGTGCACAAACCTCGATAGCACCATGGACTGGATCAGCAAAGAAGTTGCTGATCAAGTCTTTGTTGATTGGTGCACCATTGTCCACAGCCACCAAAGCTTGTTGGGTCAGGTTGTAGTCGAACCTCGGTGCCCATTTCCTTGATCCCAATTTCGCTGTGGTCGAGCAGTTGTCCACCATGAAGGATACTCCTCTAGCATGCATAAACGGGTTTAGAGAATCAACAGACTCAATCACACTCTCGTTGATGATCTCTGAGTACGAGTGACCCTTCTTCCTCAAGATATCAATCTACATAAAGATCAGAAAACCAAGATTAGATTCCAAAATATCAATAGAAACTGAGGATAATAAGGCATAACTAAACCAAATGTAAACAAAAGGACATACATACCTGAGCCATCATAAGGGCAACGTAAACTCCAGCAGTGAAGGGATATAACGGACCTAAGTCACCAGCTGGTCTTGACTTCCTGACACGTTCACCAACCTTCCAAATTCTTGTCTGATCAATCTTTCCCATTGGGAATGCAGGCAAGCCTTCCTTGTCCTGTTACAAGCAAGATAGCTCCATCAAAAGCGTGTTTGTGTAAATGTAAGAAAATAAAGGTTTGAGAGAGGAGTTATTACATAGAAGCGACGACCAGCTAAGACAACACTCCTGATCTCACTACCAGCAGCTACATCCTCGTAACATTCATACAGAATCTCCATACAAGGATAGAAGGATGCACTGTATGCAGTCTCGAAATCCTTTTTGCCTTCTTCAGACAAAGAGTTGTAGACAGCCAACATTCCCTGAGTAGAGATAGTCCTCGAGATTGTTCCTGTGATGCATTCTACTGTGTTCTTGTAAGCCAGCTCTTCACTCATTCCGTTCTCGGTGTACCTTCTGAACAGAGACTCAACGATTCCATGAACGGCACCAAGCAGAATACCTATTTAACAAACAAAAAAAACAATCAGAAAAACCATGAATAAAACCAATCAGACAAACAAACAGCTTGGAAAGTGAGAAGCGAGCATTCAAAGAGGTTAACAACCCGAAGCAGAGGAGCTGATTTAGATACCAAAGCCAACGCATTATCTGTCAAACAAAACGTTCCTTGTAAAGATAGCCTAGTCAATGAAGGGAAACCAGAGGGAGAGAGTTTCAAGAACTCAGTTATAGCGTTCTCCGTCATAGCTCGTCCGCAAAGATCAAGATTCAACACCTAAGAGCATCAAAAATCAAAACCAATAGCTACAACAAAAGAGTTTAAAGAACTCAAGATTCAAAAAACTACCTTTAGGCTAGCTCTGTCACATTCAGATAGTATCTTAGTCAAGTCTTCTTCCTCTAAGTCAACACAATTCTTCACAAAAACCTCACAACGAGAATCATCAACAAGAAGCTTCACAAAACCTTTGTCTACTCTACTTAAATCACTAACAAGACTCATGATGTTCTTCTTCTAGTGATCAGGGACCAGATACAAAGACTTAATCGCTCCAGAGTTTTCAGCAAGAGCTCTCACACACAGCTCCGTTAACAGAGGAGCCGTCTTTTTCGTCGTCATCATATTCAACTCAATTGATGTACTATCAATAACACTAGAACTCGATCTAGAGTATCTCCTCCTCTTCTTGATCGCCTTCTTCGCATCATCAAATCGACTCTTCCCTTTCTCCACCTCTTCTTCTTCTTCCTCATCGTCTTTGCTTTGTTTATGCAATTCGAGAGCGTAAGCTTTCGCTACTTCAAAAACTTATTGTCTATGCATCTGCTCTCTCTTTGGTGAACTGTCTCCTCTTCTTCGCGGATTCGTGAATTTTCTTCATCTTGAATCATCGTCGCCACATAGCAGAGATTTTTAAAAGCTGCGTCATTGAATAGAGGTAGGGTTTGATCAATAGGATCCCGTTCCAGGATAACAGGAGAATCGTCGAGGAGATTGGGTCGTGTTCATGAGAAGAAGTCATCGAGTCGTCAAGTATTTTCGGCTTTTGCTTGCTGCAGAGAAGCGCTCCTATGGTCTATGATTAATTAAGGCTAATATGGTCTTTTGACTATCAAAATTTTTAGTGTAAAGTTGGTTAATGTAAAAGTGAAAATTTATTCGTTAAATTTGATTCGATTTGTTATTCGTCTCGATTCGATCCGAAAATTTTGGATATCCGTAAACTTTCGAATCAAAGCAAATACTAAAAATCAATATCCGTTAAAATCGAATCAAATCACAAATATTAAAATTTTGGGAACCGAATATCCGATCCGATCCGGAAATATATAAATACATGTATATTTTGATTATATTTAAAATTTTAAATGTATAGAATTATTATTATGGCTTATGATTTGACTAATTATATTCACATTACTACTTATATAAAAGTATTAGATAAAAAGAAGAGAAAAATTATGAAAATTATAAAAAATATTAATTTTTGTGTTATTATAATTGTTAACTTAAACTTTAAAATTATAAAATATGTAAATTCAATAATTCTTTACTTTTTGTTTTATATATCATGCAAAAAATATTTTACAAAATAAATTTATATCAAATTTTTAAGATTATTGTAACGGATGAGATATTCGTAAGTATTCGTAAATATCCGCAAATATCTATTTATTTTCCGGATATCCGTATTTTTCCGAAGCAAAGCAAATACCAAAATCAGATATCCGTAACATACGAAACAAATCACAAATACCTTCGAAAACCCAGATATCCAATCCGTGTCCACCCTTACATCAAACAACCCTATAAGTATACTACAAAATATATTAAAATTCGTCGATTAGAGAAAATCATTAATTAAACGAATTATACGCCAATTTATATATTTATAATATCCAATTGATTTGTAGAATACGTACGTTGAGATTTAATCTTGAACTTCAAAACTTAAACGTTATCAAAAAGTATGTAAACTAGTCTATATTAATACACGACTTCTAGAATCTTATATATTTTGGGATTTGAACCATATCATTTTGTGACATAGGCTTCTACTATTATAGTCTTCCCTTTCGGACCCATTAGATTCGGTTCAGTTAATTTAGATTTGGATTTGCGAATTTTTTGTAATTTTCATTCAGCTTTTACAAATTATTGGATTTGATTCGGTTAATTTTTTCTTGATTCCGTGCGGATCAGATTATAACTAATGTATAAAATTACCCAAAAATGTTTTTTTTAAAACGAAAAAAAATTAAAAAATATTTAAAATATATAAAGTATTCACAAATCTAACCACAAACAAATTAAACTACCTAAGCCAACTAAATTTATTCAAAATAACAAATAGAATAAAATATAAAAATATTTAAAGTATTATAAAATTTATAAATTACTTTAACATATATACATAATAATAAAATACTTCCCTAATTTCGTATATAGTCAGATCCAAGTTTGAATTTTAGTTGGATACCCAAATTTCAAAATACCAAGCTCTCAAGTTCCATTCAGATATTTTTGTATAATGGTTTAGATCTGGTTTTGATTTTATCTGTTCGAGTTAAAGTAGGGAGTTCGGTTTGGGATAAAAACTTCTATGTTAAGTATTACTTTAAAAGTGTTGTAAATATATATGTATGTGTTTGGGGTGTGAAAAAACGTGATAAAAATAAATCCTGAAATGAAGCTGCAGCGGTCATTGCTCTCAGTGTCACTTGGGATAGGCGCCACTAGTCATATATTGCCCAGAATGCTCCATCGTGGCTACATCACCTACTCATTTTGGAGGCTCAGTTAGAAAAAGTTTTGGTAAGCCCTTTTCCTTTTCCTTTGATGATGTCTACTGACATCTCATTTTCTTGTTATTAATTTATCACTTTTGTTTTCTCTCGAACTATGTATCTCTACCAGTGTTATAAAAAAAAAACAAATCATGAAATGCTTTGATAAGAGAATAAAAATAAATCCTAAAATGCTAAAAGTCATAATATATATAATAGAAAATATATCACTGCAGGGCAGTTTTAAGTTTTTATTTACACTCTAGAGCAGTTAGTGCTCCTTAGACACTTTATTCTAACTCACTCTCTTCTTTTCTAACTAAACTAACTAAGTGGACCCAACTAATGGTATGTTGTTAAAGGTCACTAATCAGATTGTTTTTTTTCTGCCGCAACACTTCCTTCTCAGCTACATCTCTACTTTTTTTTGCCAAGATCCTTCCTTCTCCATTGCAATTCGTCTATGTTATCGTCGTGACCTAGACTCTCACCGCCGCCGTCGAAACGTCTCCTCTTCTTCTCACCACAAAGTGAAGGTTCGAGCTTGGGATCACATCCGGTCCTCACGTTAAGTTTATTTTTGTTTTTACATGCTCTGAAACTGAAAAGATAAATTTGAGGTATTTTTGCATATTTGATCCCTAAACTTATTTGTTTTTATTTTGTAACCCCAATACTTTTTAAATGTGCAAATTGATTCTTAATTTAGTCACAAACTTTAGAAATCTCAATTTAATCTTTTGTAGTACAAATACATCTATCAAATACACTTTAGAAATCACATTTTAACCTTTTGTAGTACTAATACATTTTAACCTTCCTTAATGTACACCAAAATAAATATCCACTTGTACAAACCAACACCACGTACACGTGCACATCTAGATAAGATCCGTCCACACCCTTTTTACGTGTACACATATGATCATCGTCAAAGCGTGCACCAAGAACCGCCTAATCCCCGCGAACTCCGATAAAAACTCAGGATTTTACTCACCAACCTACTCCTGCTACCCCACTTACACGGGAAACCGGGCCATTATTTGAGATTAACGATGAAGAATTTGACATAACCCTACTCTATGATGACCTCTCTTATGAGATTGATGATGTGTACACATGTACATATTAATTTTTACATCCGGCTTAATTCAGTTCTACATTGTAGTTTGTGCACATTCATTATAATCCACGAAACAAGCCTTAACATGTACATATTTGAATAATGTAGAACCATAAATTCACTTATCACATTTTCACCGAACGTTATAAATTTTTTTCTTGATTGAAATTTAGGCGTACACATGTACACTCCTAAAACATGTCCACATATATGTAGATTGGTACAAACATGTTATTTCGTGTTCACTATGAAACGTGTACACATGTACGTCGAAAGTGAACCAATATATGTAAGGAAGTTGTACACATATATGTAGATTGGTGCATTTTTGAATTTGGATTTGTCTTCGGATGTATGTTAAATAACACAAAACTCATTTCACATGTACATTCTTGATTCTTAGCAGTTTGCATGATTTTGTGTTTTATTCATATCTAATACTCCATCCGTTTCGAATTATATGTCATTCTAGAGGAAAAATTTCATTTCAAAATAAGTGTCGTTTTAGAGTTTCGAGACAAAATTTATTATGTTTATATGATATTCTATTTTTCTATTGGTTGAAAAGTGGTTAGGTGTATTGGTAATTGTGTTTTTATATTGAAAATATGTAAAATTAAATGTTTCCTTAATCTATGTGTAAAAACATAGAATGACAAATAATCTGAAACGGAGGGAGTAATTTTTAGCTTTGATTTTAGTTCAATTAATTTATTTTTCAATGTATTTAAAATTAACACATGATTTTAAGATTTGAATGAGAATACACAATTTTATGAACATTGCCTTAGTAATATACAATGTACACATGTAGAAGATGTAACATGTTCTGTTTGTACACATGTACATATATAATTCATGTAAACCACATTATCTTATCCTTATATCTACAAAGAAAAATCTATATCATTTAACATGTACGTACACTAACATTATGTACACATTTACGTTGTTATCCAATGTACACATGTACATTTATAATCTATGTACACATATTTTTGTTCTTTTTTTTTTAATTTTTCACTTATAGCTAAATAAAATGGCAGGGACCAACTGTTATAAAATTGAAATATTTTCTTGCTCTGGATTGCACAATTAAAAATTTCAGGTCAAATTTATGGACAAATTTGAACAAATTAGAAACTTGAGATAAATTGGAAAATAAACAAGAGTTAGAGGACCTAATGTGAAATTAATCTAAAGTTCACCATTGTTGTTACAGAGAAGCTTTCTCCTCCATCTGCGACCAAACCTAGTGATGCTCTCTTCAAACAACGATTACGATGAGGATAAGGAAGAGACGAGTTGACTTTAACACAGCTTGAAGATGAATCGAGATGACGAAGGTTGATCTGTATTCGGAGATCGCGGCGGTTGCTTGAAATTTATTGCGTTGATAAATCCCGACGGTGGAAGCAGAGTCCCAATATTATCATGACGATCGAGCTTTCCGATAGCTTCCGACAAAGCCCATTTTCATCACTGTTATTTTTATTATATGGTGACACCTTTGATTTCACGGTTACAAAAAAAAAAAGGAAGAAGATAGAATATTAGTTGTGTCCACTTAGTTAGTTTGGTTAGAAAAGAAAAGAGTAAGTTAGAATAAAGTGTATAAGGAGCATTAACTGCTCTAAAGTGTAAATCTTATACAATAAAATTGAGTTTAGTACCTTCTTAAGCTATCCACATCATCAAAAGAGGGTGGGGCAAAAAAATCCACGTCAGCACTTGTGTAACAGATTAAATGAGTTCACGATCCGTTGTCTTTGAAAGGCGTAAATGGTTTAGTTCTTTGGGCTTTTGTTTTGTTTGTGATTTAATGAAGATGGTATAGTACATTCTCATGTTTGGGTTTCGTTAATTTTTTCTTAGTTTTAATCTTATTTTAATTTACAGACCATCATCTAAATAGCAGTTTCTTTTCACGGATGATTCATCTTCCCCACCTCTTGGTGTTGTTTACTTCCTATCAATTTTATTAAGAGATCAGCCTAATCGATTGACTAACTAGATGGTCGATTCTTTATTTCTCAGGCTTTTCTATATCTCACATCCCAATTTAAGCTTATTTAGATCTTCTATTCGCCATTACACACCCTCATCTACATCTTTGGAGAAGCCAATGGCTGAAAAATCACTGGGCCTCACTTTGCAGCATCTCCGGTTACTAAAACACTGCAATTTTTGCCTCTAAAGCCTTTAATCTGAGGGGAAACGGTATCTCCATAAATGCATGGCATTTTTCTAGAGGCGTCGTCGTTGAATGGGAAGAGAGCTTAGCGGTCTATCGGGCCAAGATCTTCACCTTCATTGACAATGGATCTGTCGGAGGGGAGATATGAGAAGATAGTCCCAAAATCTGGTAAATAGTATTTTCTCAATCTCCCTTTTTGATCATTTCCAGTTTTGTAGGTGTATAATCGCTTTTTCTTATCAGGTTGAATTTGCAGCTGATGATTTACTTTAGTATTTCTTTGTGATCCGGAAATCTCTATTGAGAAATGACCACATCGTCTTGAAATGTTGAGATTAGTCTATTTGTCATTTTTCTATATTGAAGGGCTTAGGCCTTAACTTCATCTCGGCTTGGATATTTTCCTCTGCTATGAGTTGACCTATGATTTTGATTCTTGATACAAGTTAGAGACCGATCTTGCGTTCCAATTTCAACGATTGAGAGTGTGGAGTTCCTGTTCATGATAACTCTATTTTGCTTAGCATGCTGAGAGATGCTCTCTCTAGATTATAAACCCTCTTTCTCTATAAATATTGATTTCATGACTTTTCAGTGTTAAGTAGTAACTCATAGTTTTTGCAGCTTCTAACTCAGGCAACCTCTCCTAACCTAAGCATGTGGTCATGGCAAGTGCCCAAATATATCTCTCCGATTTGAAGGGTGGGCGTTGTGGTCACAAGTATGCTTCGGTTTTGGGAGGCTAGGAATGTCAAGAAAGAATGGGAGCTAACTGGAGGTGATATGGTTTTGGTCAACTTATAAGTGTGTTTATGAACTTTGGGATTTATTTTTCCAACTTAAGCTATAACCCTTCAGTCCCCTCAGAGAAGGAGGATTGATTAATCTGAGCGGATCTGATGTGGGAAGAAGCAACAACCACTTAAACATACTGATGCACCAGTGTGTATTCGTTTCACCTGCCAGACCCATTTCGTGGAGTCAATGAAGTCTCTGGTTACAATCCCAACCAAGAAGTTCAGGTTTCACAGGTTTGAACAGCTCATGGGTTTGACTAACACAAACTCCGAATTCCCCGGTCTGTATTCAAACTCATTTTTGCCCAAATTTGTTTCTCCTTTATCTTATATTTGTCTTGGATGTTCATTGTATGTTATTGTTCTTTCGACAGAAATCGTTGGTAAGGTTATGGGCAGGTTACGGGCAGTTCTTCATTCGATGGTGAGGTTACTGGAAATTCTTCATTATATATTGTTTTAGGAGCAATTCTTCATTATAAAATCAAAAGAGTTTACAACTCGATCCTTTAAGTTGTTTCTTACCAAGGATCAGGCTGCAAAATACATACGCACATGTGATTTAGTCCTTGCAAAAAACTTATACCATGACAAATCTAAATGTTTCTCTTATAATTCCCTGATTCCTTGCATAACATATGCTTTTTTTCTTCATGTGTATGTAGCTATACTTAAAAAATTCTCAGTTCAGCGAGGTGGACAGAGCAGAGTATCAGTTCATAAGGACAGCGTACTCGACAATGGAACTCAGGCTCCTCTATAAATATATATCCATTCTTGAGAAAGTCTTTCTCAGATCATTAATTGATGTGTTTTAAAACCTACAGGTTACTAATGTATTTCAAATTACATGACTCATCCTATAGGTTTCTTTGAATGGATTAGGCTAATATGGACTAAACTCATCACCTGAGAAACTTGAAGGTTACACACTTTTGCTAGATTCTCCTGTTGGCTTTCTTTGAAAATTAATCAATACTCTATGCATAAACAAATTCTTAAGTTTCTTCGACTTCAGCTGCCAAGTTCAATACGTTCGCTTAAGCTGTATGGTTATGTTCGGCCTCCTCTCCCAACCAGCAAGTGTTTCAAACCACAACAGAAGATTTATATTACAATTACAAAAGTAACTAACCTACCTTTTGTTTAATATTTACACCTCACAGCTTCTGTTCTTCGCTGGCTCTTGCACCAAAAGGGACTCTGTGATCCATTATACGATTATGAAGATCATTTTGACTCAGACCATCACACCAGAGAAAACGCCATAAACTACCGCCTTCATCATTGTCCTCACCACCATCACCAACTTTGTCACGGTGTCAAAACGCATAATCATCATCGTAGGACACAAGATACACGGACAACATTATCATCATGGGCAGTACAAATACATTATGAAGAAGAAGACATTTTGAAGAAGAAGTTTGATCGTTACCACAGCGAGTCTCACTATTACCAACAAGTGGACCGAGTTCATAAAGATTACAAGCACACGCAGCATAGGCAAGGAGGCAAACATGGGATCGTCCTGCCACGTGATTGCACGTGGATAAGGCTTATTGACATGTGGGAAGAAGCATATTTTGTGTATGATAACTGAAGGTTTCACCGATCTAACGATTAAAAACCCATAGACAACTTTTCGGTTTGACGAAAGCGTTGAGCTACCTTCACAAAATCACTATGAAATCATTTCTCCATCTAGAAAGATCCGGTTTTGAGATGGGAGCACTTTGGAAGAACATTTTTTGGTTAAACATCAAATTCATATTATCTATTAAAAAGAAGAATAAAATCTTACCAAAAATAAACAATATTTTCATCCAAGTATCATCAATTAATTAATTTATATTAACATTTTGTTTTGTAGCATTCATGAGTTCATTTTAGTATAAAATGGAATTCAAGTAAATGACTAAATTTTTATTATTCTAACTAGGTATTTTGCCTCCATAAGCGTACTAAATAATTATAAATAGATATGTCAACAATTCAAATATTATTAAAATAATTTATTACTCATACGTTTAAATATTTAACAATAAACTAAACAACATTTTTATATACAAAGTTTTCCATCATGGCATGATATAAATATTTTTATTACATAAAATCAATTTGAACATTTATGCATTTAAATATTTAGTAATAAATTAAAAACTAAATTTATATATTGGAAAGTTTATAGAGCATAATAAATAATATTTTTTGGTGAATATAAAATAATATTTTTATCGAGTGAAATCAACTTAACAATACTTATGTATACATAGAATTGTATACGAAATACATATGTAGGGATTAGAAGAAAGTTTTTATAGTGTAAAATAAGTTTTGGATGAAAAATAAATTATTTTTTTATAAATACTAATTTGAAAATTAAGGAAATTCATTTTTAATATATGGTTAATTATTTATTAACAAATTTAACGATCATTAAGGTTAATAAATACTTTATAACATAGTATAAACTATTTTTAGATAATGATAATTATCAAATTAATGTTGATACATATATATAAAAATATTTATCTTTATTTTTAAATATTGTATAAAATAATTTTGTGGATAAAACAATATAAATTTTTTAATAATCATAAATTCATTTCAATAATGGTTAATTATATATTAGCAGATTTATAATTCACTAAAGGTACACAAGATATTAACCGCTCTAACTTTTAACGTGATAGACATAATCTGAAAAAATCACTTTGCAAATAATAGTATAGATATCGTCACTAATTAGTAAGATTTTATAATGTTTTTTTTGCTTAATTTTGGACTTAATCAACATCACTTCATTGAATATTTATTCTAATATTAACATTTTAGCCATCGGAGGAATTGTTGTTATAGATATTTGAATAAACAATCTTAAACTGAACAAACTTCCATTTGTTTTTTCAATCATGTTTTGGGGTTTGATTCTAGACATCAAGTAATAAGGGAAGAAATACAAATTTTACATACTACAAATATATATAGTAGTTTTAAAGATAAGACCAAATTATAATACTAAAAAAATATCCAAAACTTTAATATGTCCCCACACTTTAAATGTTGTTACAGATATTTGATTAAATAATATAAAACTCCAGATATGTATATGTTCTATAGTTTCTTAAACTGCAGAAATCTCAATTTTTTTTTTAAATCATGTTTTCGGGCCTGATTTTAGACATCGAAGTGAAAGATGAAGAAATAAAAAAAAATTGTATACTCCAAACATATATAGTAGTTTTACAGATAACACTAAATTATAACACTAAAATTAATAAAACACTATCTAAAGTAGTTAGATTTCTTTAGGAATATAAAAGACATCTTACGGATTAAATTAAATCTTATAGTCCACAACTTCGTATTTCTAATACATAGCCTCACATTCTCTATTGAGACATTTCTTTAGCCAAATCATTCTTATGCAAAACAATTACCGGGGATTAATTCTTCCAAAAATAAATCATAATAAAAACAAAAATTAATAATACAAAAATCAAACAATGCGCGCTTCGCGCGGAAACACCACTAATAAAAACATAAAATTGACTTAAAATGAAAATAACTCTATATAATATATGCGGACAAAAAAAAAAAAATCCGGCCACAGTCCAGCCCAGTGTATCCTTAACAATGTAGAGTTTACTCTAAGGATCCAAAGGAAATATGCCAGCCCATTGCCGGCTCAATACACCAGCCTGAAGGTCAACATGAATTATGTAAATTTTTCTCAAACTCAACAGTAGCATTCATATTTAATAGCAAAAATATTATACTAATGAAAAGTTATATAAATAACTCCAGCGACCTAATATAAATCTCTGGTTTTATTTTAATCACTATATATTGAAAATGCATTAGCAATAATAATTGGTAGCTTAAGGATTAAATTAAGCGAAACATTGAAAAGGGCACTCGTCTCCCTAGGCAGTAGTTGGTGTGGTTTTGGTTAAGGTTGTTGCCACAACATCTAAATCTAGTGAAGAAACAATTTAAGAATCTAAGAGTAACTTTGAAGCTAAAATTATCAAACTATCACACACTATATGTATGTCGATGTCATGTCACTATTCTATATATAAATCTATTAGACTTTGATTGTTTTGTACAAATAGAGTAAATATTAACTCTTCATTTAACTTTATTCTAGGTTCAGCCGAAACTTTACCAATCAAGTAAACTAATATTTTTTTATCAATTCAGCTAATTACTGTATAGAAAGAGAAAAACACACTAACAATTTTACTCTAGGTTTAAGAGAAAAACACATTTACTCTATTTTTTTCTTCTCTCTCATTTTCCCACCTGTTTACTTTCCTCTCATTTTTACTTATTTGTTTACTTATTTTACTCCTATATTTTCAAGTCACAACCTAAATATATAACTATTCCAATCTCTTTTCTATACATACAAGAGTGTACGTTATATTTTGTATATGAAAATACATTTTTACCTAAAATATTATTTATATCATAGTTTTTTACTTCTGCAAGAGGCATGCAATCGAACATTTGGGCTGGCGTTTTTTGGAGTTGTTGGAATCATCTGATAGTGTCAGCAGACGCATATACATTATATTCTCGATATGGATATTTTTCTCTTTTTGGAGTTGTTGTAGAGGTTTGAAACTAAACCGATATTCATATATATCCGAAAGAACAGATAACGGAATACGGATCCATGAAACGCATAATGATAAGTTGATAACCATTGCAATACGATAATCATTTGGTTTACTGAATCGAGTATTGGGGAAAATCTAAACGATACAAAAAACACTAGTTTGGTTTATAAAAAAAAGTATATATAAGATACAAGAAATAGACCGATTCATTAGTTGGTTCTGGTGATTTGTATATACTTAAGAATTGTCTAATTACTTGGAACTTACTCTTTAAATGAAGCCAAATATGACCACAATTTATTAATTTCACACCCTGTATCATATTGTTATGATTAATTTGTTTGCTATCAAAGCTTTTGTTTTTATTGGTATCTTAACTAAAGAAGTGATTACCAAATGGGTGGCGGACAAAAAAAAAAAACTAAAGAAATGATTAAAACAGCCATATTCGTTGTTAAAAGTTAAAACAACTAAACACACTCGCATCAGCGTAACGTGTTTTTTTATTGCTATCAAAAGCCATCTTCAAGACTGTCTTGATGTCAAAAAAGAAAGAAGCCATCTTTGTCCACTTCAGATTATGCGTTTTGTACCTTCACTAACCACCTCAATATTTTTATTCCCCTAATAATGATCTTTATTACCAAATTTGTTGAGTCTACAATTGCTAACCAATAACGATCCGTAACATTGATCACATGCACGTTTACAATATCTTATGTCAAAACCTCTGAGCTTAAAATTTCTCCTTTAATGTTTACCGATGACGCCATAATATTCTTTGATAGTACTAGTGGTTCTTTTTATGGTATTACTGAATGCTTAGACGACTTCACTTCCTGGCCAAACCTAAAAATGAACATAAATAAGATCGAGATCTTCTTTTGGGTCTAAATTAATCTTAGTGAAACAAATGATATTGCTGCCTATGGTTACCTTACATGTTCTCTCTCTGTCAGATATTTAAGCTTACTTTGGATGAGCCGTAAACTGCGTGTCTTTGAGTATAATCCCCTTAAAGCTTCGAGTTCGGTTCAGATCATGGGCTGTTAAATCTCTTTCTTTTGTTGTAGGTTGCAATTAATATCTACAGTTATCTATAAGACTGTAAATTTATGGATGTCGATCTTCCATATCTCTAAAGGCTGCATAAAGAAGATTAAGACGATGTGTTTTGTTTTTCTGTGATCCGGAAACATTGAGACAACGGAGAAAGCTAAAGTATCATGGTCCATAGTTTGTCTACCAAAAAGTGAAGGAGGTCTAGAATTGAGAAATTTGATTACTTGAAATAGAGTATTATGCTTAAGGTTCCTTTGACTTCTATTTTCAGAGAGTATCTCTCTTTAAACATTATGGCAGAGACATTATCACTTAAATGGAAGGAGTTTGTGGACAATGGAAGAAACAACTTTGGACTCATGGGTTTGGAAACAACTCCTAAAGCTTAGAGTAGAGGGAATCAAGTTCATCAAACCTATTGTTGAAAGTGGATGCATGATCATTTTTTGGTTCGATACTTGGACACCCTTTGAGAAGCTTATTAACTTCATTGGAGATCGAGTACCTTCTCAGCTTCGGATGCCAATGCATGCAGTGGCGGATCTAGAAATTAATTTTACTGGGGGCAAAATTATACAATATTTATTGCGAAAAATCTATTTTCAAATAATTTTTAGTTTTATAAATAGTAATAAAGCAAAATTATTGAAAATTCAAAATTTTCACAGATTATTAACATAATTTAAACATGAACTTTATGATGATTCTCAATATATTTTTAAAAAATCTTACTTTTTTGGAATGATGCAGAAGATCATAACCATTATTATGGTATTTTAGAATTCTTTTTAAAATGTATTTATTTATGTTTTTGTAGTACTGTAGTCTTTAATATTTATGTGAGAAATGAAAAAAAAACTATAAGTTAGATATTATGTAAAGTCCAAACAAAGTTGTACAAGCCTTAATG